TGAGCAAAGCATCCAGTCGAGGAAAAGGGGTATGTGGCTTCTGTGACAACATCGGCGGGGTCAGTGCTGATCTCGTATAGCTGGCAATCGAGCTCACAATCAACATCTTTGGTGTCATGACGGCCTACTGGGTTGGTTAGTCTATCTACTGCTTCCCAGTCCCGCCACACACATGCTAAAGTGCTCAGATTATGGAATGAGTCATGTCAACAGTGAAGCTCAATTTCGGTTCCCCATCGCGCTGCAGATTCTCTTTGCCATCATCACACTTTTGGGGGTGATTGTCTTGCCTGAGTCGCCTCGTTGGGTGAGTATTGCTGCCCTGAAGGGCTTTTGGGCTTGGAAGCTAACACCAGAAAGCTTATTTCCCACGGCCAACGCGACAAAGCGCAGCGTATTATTTGGGCTGTTCAGCCTAACGCGGACCAAATCTCTGAGTCTGACACCATTGTCACGACAGAGGTAGCAGAGATCTCTCGTGCTATTACGGAGGAGCAGGCAGCGTCGCAAGAAGGATCCTTTGGCATGATTTTCAGCAACGGGCCTCAGAAGTTCTTCTACCGCACGCTTCTGGGAATGGGTGGACAGTTCATGCAGCAGATGTCGGGAGTGAATCTGATCACTTATGTCAGTTATAACAATCTAAACTGATAATGTCTTGCTGACCGAACGCAGTACAACACGGTAATCTTCGAGAACTCGGTTGGTATGAGCCACAACTTGGCCCTACTGATGGCCGGTTTCAACGGGGTAGCGTATTTTATCTCTACCTTTGTCCCCGTCTGGACTATTGATCGGTACAGTTTTTGCTCTCAAACTCACCAGCTCGGCTGCTAATTTGAACAGGCTGGGTCGTCGGAAACTTATGCTCTTTGCAGCGGCGGGACAATGTGGTTGCATGGCTATCCTAGCCGGCACTGTGTATGATGGCGGCCATGCGGCCGGTATCGTGGCCACCGTGATGTTGTTTCTCTTCAATTTCTTCTTTGCCGTTGGCCTGCTGGCTATTCCGTGGCTATGTAAGCTGGCTCTCACATCCTCCAGACACGAAGGTTCACTGACCGATCGCACAGTGCCTGCCGAATATGCCCCGCTGGCGATCCGAAGCCGCGCTGCCGCATTGGCTACTGCCACCAATTGTACGCATCTCGATGGGTGAAGGCAGGAGGAAATATACTGACTGCCATCTGTAGGGATCTTTACCTTCCTCGTCGTGGAAATCACGCCCGTCAGTATTGATAGCATTGGCTATCGCACGTATATCTACTTTGCTGGTAAGAATTATGGCCCCATGCTAGGCAGAGGGATGTCAGCCAGGGCTAACGTGGCTCGCTAGTGTTTAATTTCTGCTTCCTCCCCTTGATCTACTTCTTCTATCCCGAAACACGCAACCTCACGCTGGAACAAGTGGATTTGCTTTTCACGGGAGAGAAGGTGCAGCTTCACTGGCACCCATCGATGGGCGCAGCGGGCGATGTCAGTGAGCGCATGGGAGACAAGGAGGTAGGCATGATTGAGCATGTTGAGTAACGGGCAGGTCTCTGTCGTTGGTGGCGTACAGTACATACAGAGCTGAGTGTTCATAGGAAGTAGACTTGAGATATCCATTATCTGCAGTATCTGCAGTATCTACCGTGATAATGAAGCAATTTCGTTCTTGAAAACTTGGTGCTAGGGGACGAGCTTCTAAAATAGGCAGTTGCGGTCCGGGGAAGCCCTCGCGGTCTTCTTCCTTCTTTCCCCACATTTTCGGCGGTTATTTCTACCCGATCGGGAAATTTTCCACCTCTCCACCTGGGATTCATGTTGTTCCCCCGCAGTCTTCGATTCTGCAGCTACTTCTCCATCAATGCTACGTACCTTGATCCTTTCCATCTTATCCCCCAGATTCTTCTTCCTTCCTCAATCAAGCATGGCGGTTGAATCAGAAATTGATCTGTGCCACAACATGCGCGCTACACTTGACACATCCCGCCTTGCGCCGCGCAGACGCACGCGTACCGGTTGTATCAATTGCAGCCGTCGCCGCAGAAAATGTAATGATTCGCTCTCTCACCTTGCTGCTCAGAGGTCAATCAATCAAGGAACTGACAGACCCAGGCGATGAAGCAAAGCCGGTTTGCTCGGGCTGCAAACGTCGAGGCGACACGTGTGAATGGAGGCGACTGGGGTCTTTTCGGGAGGCCAATATCAAAGTCCTCGAACCCGAGCATCCTTCCATGAACCAAGCTGCCGGTCGTGCATCTCGTCAGAGTAAATTCAAGGTACGTTACAGTCGATCAGGCAGGTCAATTTGCAAATTTACCTGACGGTTTTAGATCTTGAATGTTATTCCTGCGCGATCTGCCAAGACAACGGCCGTTAAGCAATTTCGACGATCGGTAGAGGAGCGTGTCGCAACATCAGCACCCTTAGGAGATGGCGATGACTATGAGAAACTCAACGCATGCACAGAGCTAAAGTCTCCTTCGCCGAGCACGCAGATTAATGATCCTCCTCTCAGCCCGCGTACCGCGGAGCGACTCTCACCGCTATCGCATGAGAGCTTCCGAAACCCAGACAGACTGGATCCGCAACAGCCTGCCGTAGGTGTGGAGCGCGCAGCCCACAGTTCTCCAGATGCGTCTCATTACCATCCATATATGCATTCTAGCCCTGAGTTTGTTGTCGATGAATTGGCAGCTGTTCAGAATCTGACGGGGAACACCGGGCAGTTCCCTCATCCAGCGTCCAACGTCTATCATACGATACCCTCGCCCATGTTTGACCAGAGCGTGTTCTCTGATGCAGCCAGCTTTACCAACGATGTTTTTGTTCCTGGATCTGCTTATGAGGCTCTTCATACTACTCTTCGCAACCGGCAGCTTTGGACTGCACGACCTGATATCCCAAGCCGGGGTAGAACCCCTGAAACTGTGCCTGAGCCCGACAGTACAATGCTAGAAAGTTATCTAAGAACAGAACTTCATGTCATCGCCCATCAGAGAACAGGGCGCGAGTTTGAGCTAGTCCCCGAACGTGAGAATGTTCTGTGGCAAAATTACCTTAACGAGATATGTCTTTGGGTGAGTCCGGCAACGAGCCGTATGATAATGATCAACACATACTGACCCTCCAGCTTGACATGTTTGACAATCATCGTCACTTTGCTTCAACCTTTCCGCAAATGGCCAAGTCGGCACCCCATCTCCGCTACTCTATTCTAGCCCTGTCCGCCCGGCAGATGGAGCGGAAGCAGAACAGAAAGTCTCAATCCGAAAGTCTGTCCTTGTACCAAGAAGCAATCCATCTGCTTCTTCCTGAGCTTGAAAGCAAGAGCACGCCTGCCATCGCCTCCTGCGTCATTCTTTGCGTGTTAGAAATGCTTAGCTGTACGTTCTATTCATTCTTAAATCTGGCACATCTGATTGTGGTCACCAGGCAACCCCAAAGAGTGGCGGCGTCATCTCGATGGGTGTGCATATTTGATCCAGGCTGCTGAGATTAACGGTTTCTCTGGCAAAGAGGAACAGGCACTATTCTGGTGCTTCGCGAGAATGGGTATGCCGACCACCTGCTTTCTCTACCCCGAGTGATCTAATATGATCTTAGACGTCTGCGGTGGCCTCATCTCGGAAGAAGAAACCATCATACCCATCCGCAACTGGATTCCGCGCGACATGACCCCAGCTGACGCTGCGCAGCTGTTCCTGGCGTCAAATGTTTATGCTTTCGATACATATGCCAATTACACTGTGTTCTTATGTGCGCAGACACTGGGCGTGCTATTTGGTTCTGCTCGACTTTCCACATACTATCACGGCATACTGGAAGATGGCCACTCGTATGTTGACCGATGGCAACAACTTCTGCATGATGTAGAACAGTGGTACGAGAATCGTCCCAGCCAGATGAAGCCATTATTTAGTATCCCGACCGCGTCAGTCGGGGCGGGTAATGATAAGCCGTTTCCGACCGTGCTTTATGGGAATGGAGCTGCTAGTAAGTGACTCTCAAGCGCGCATATGTCGTTTTCTGACGCCTCAGTATCCGGGAACCAACTTTATCATGCCTGCGCTCTTCTCCTACTCCAGGGAAAGCCAAAAACTCTCTCAATGCAGCGACGTCGAACGGTAAGCTCTTGCTGAAGGGGCACGAGCTATTCAGTCGCTAATATTGTCTAGAAGTCTGTCCTCTGGCATGCACGACAGATCTGCGCTATTTCGGTCTCGAACACCCATCAGTATGGTGTCCCACAGTATCACGATCCATAACAAGGTGCTAATCCATAGTAGTGGCTGTTGGACCAACGCATTGCAACCTCTCTGGCTGGCCGGCAAAGTGATGTCTCACCATTCCGAGCATGCCGCTATCGTTCAGACGCTGACGCGTATCGAGCGGGAGACGGGTTGGGCAACAAGCTGGCGAGCAGAAGACCTTCGAGAATTCTGGGGTGATGAGGAGGAAGCAGAGGAGATGGAAGAAAATATGCGAGTGGACATGCAGCGAGATACGAATCTGCAGACTCCGCCGAGTGTTCGAGGCAGCACATGTTCGCATTCCACCTTGTGAGAAACATACTCGGGATGCAGACGCGACAATAAGTCAAGCAGAACGCCCCCCACAGCTAGTCGGTCTAGTGCCCTGGAATGAGACCGAGTTAGATGGCTAAAGAGGCATTAACAGACATTTCACATGCTGAGACAGCGTATACATCAGTTTTCCAACACGCAACCGGCAAAAGACCAGGTAGAGAGAGAGAGTTTGAAATAACGCAGCTTGACAAGATATTAGGTGGGAATGGGTGGAGCCCGAAGTGCCAGCTCGGGCTTTTCCATGGCGGCAGCAGCTTGTGGTTTGTGCGATCCGCCACCAGATCCACCAGATCCGATGTCTTGCTGCTGTCCACTCCACCAGTCACTCCACCGCTCCACCTTCCGCGCAATTCGTCATCTTGACACTCTTTATCTAGACTACGCCATTTTCAATGATCTATTCATGAACACAGGACAATCAATCCCTCAACTTTCCGCCGCTACCCGCCTTAGTACAATCTCCAATCCCTGCGCTCCGACTGGCAGATCTGCTCCGTCATCGTTCAGGTCGAAGTATAGCCGCCAGAGCCCGGTTCCGGCCTCATCGTCCGGCAATTGCACCGCCAGCCAGCCCTCCCACCCATCCAGCGTCAATCGCTGTTCATCCTTGGTCCAGTCAAAGGGCCCACAGACGTGGCCCTCACTGTCGGGTCGACTACCCCAACGCACTTCGTAGGTTTGCGCGTCTAGAAACGCCCACCGTAAAGTGGGTGGTTGTTCGCCTGTTACAGTCACCAACCCGGAGGTATTGTCAGTCGGGAATGCTGGATGAGTATAAAACCCTCCATTGAAGGGAGACATCGTGCTCGGTGCCTTTTTCGTGATGTAGAGCTGTGTGTTCCCAATGGGACGAGTTGTTTTCATTTAGCTTTGCTGCGACGTTTGAATGACGGTTGTCCACTGCAGACAGCCAGTAGCTGAGGAAGGAAGCAAAGGCAGACTCACCCGGCCGTCTTGACCCACAAATACCTTTGCGTTCTGAATTTCTTCGCGCTGACTAGGGGTCCCTTGGGTGAGCGAGCAGCTGGCAATCAGATGGCAGCGCTGCTTGCGGGCTGATGCTCGTCGATCTTCTTCATGGTCGCGGGTGTGTTGGGAAGCTTCATTCAGGCCAATCATGGTGGGCAGCAGAGCTGCCATCACTGCGATATCTATCACCATAGTGGGGGTTGCTGGTTGTGTCGGAGGATGTGGGAAGAAAGAGTATGATCATGCGTTAGGGATTCTAGACAAGGTCGTTGACTGCCTTGTGCCCACGCCTGGTGAGGACCGTAAGCAGTCTCTCAGCTTAGCGACGAGGTGAGGTTAAGTGTGAGCTCAATGTGACTGATTGGCAGCTACAGATGGCAGGTGGAGTCTGCTCCATCGCTGCCAGGCAAGGTAGCTTCACCTTTAAAAAATGAAACACTGATGAGGTCACGCTTTACAATACTCCATAAATTAAATATTCTCTCTTGTTCGTCCTCCAGGATGTCATGCCTTCGTCTGAAATAGGCTCAACCTCGTCCACGTCTTATTTTTATTCCCAATTCTTCCTGCCTGATCACCTCTGCTCTCTACAGCCGCCAACGCCAGTGCCTCTGCTCTCTCCTCCTACCGAATCAGTTGCACCGGGATCTACTCAACCTATCGAAATGGCCGAGTCCATTACCAGGTATTTCCTCTTCTCTTGTTGGTCCTGAGGCAATTCAACTTGATCTATCTGTCTCATTCTTCCGACTCCGCCCGATACATTAACATGATGTCCGCCATGACCCTGACCCTTTCACCAAGTACTGCAAGAAGCAGAAATAGAAGAGGAAGAAGACAAAGCATGGACAATATCCGTCTATAAAATCATCTTCCCCCTCATTTACTTCTTCACTTCCTTCTGCACTTCCACCTCCACCTAATCACCCGGCTATCACCCTCCGTTTGTTACATTCAAAGACCCTCCTCTTCTGCTGCTTGCTTGTTCTTCGTCCAAATCTCCCTATCACTCCACAACCACAACTAAATCACTAACCACCCCGCGTCTCCCGCCCACCACCGGAACCAGCCTCCCCGACAGCCGCCCCACCGGCGGCCGCAAGAACAGCACCAGCAAAGACCACCCGGAGGATGAGCTGGACTCTTCCGCCCCTGCCGCCACCGCCACGACCACCACCACACCCAATGGCCTGGTCCCGAACAGCGGGATGAAGGCGCCCGGGGCCACGCAGGAGGAGGACGGCAAGGAGAGTCTACGGATTCGGATCCATTTGAACCTCCATGCGAAGGTCAAGCTGGAGTTGGATGCGCAGCTGTATGGGGATATTGTGATTGGGTTGTTGTGATTATCGTTTGGGGCTAGAAGAATGTAGATAGTTCGGATGGGATTGGGTGTTTGAGGTTTTTAATAGCTGGGAATTGACTTCAGTTCGAGGGTTCCAGGTTGGGTTTTTGGGCAAGGTCCGCTTCGACGCTGTTGGGTGTGCGGTTGGGTCTACTTGGGTTTGTTTCTTTTCGAGCTGGGTGTGGTGGTTTTGGGGCGTGAGGATGGTGTTGGCTGAGTGTGATGGTTGTTGATGACGGTAGTGAGACGTGGAGTATACTCATACTTTTGGAATAATGACTTTCGACGCAGATCACCTTAGTTTCTCGAAGATACAGTACCTAGCAGTATGCTCACTCGTTCTTACCCCACCATGTCATTGGTCAAGCAGTCTTCTCCGGCACCTTTCCTACGCTCACGTTGGGGTTTGGGGAAAATGGTCACGCGACACAAGGTCTCGACAGAACATCTCAACCCTCGGCGGTGGAAACTCCACCCCCGTTGCCCAAGTGACTCAGCTGAGAGGGCGAATGAATAAACCAAAAAAAAAAAAAAAAATATATATATATATCCATCATACTCCATGGAAGGTGGCTGGGTTCTAGGTTCATGGAAGTGACTCAGGCAGCGAATCTCAGGGCCCGGTCTCCCTAGACTACACGAAGCCATTGCGGGAATATCTGACCACTTGATTCCTTTCTTTTATTTCCCTTTGAATAACTCCACGGGAAACTGGTAAGTCGCCTGGGGGGGAGTGATTAAGAGAGACATTGATTCATATTTCAAGTTTCTTTCGGTCGTTGAGTTGCTGGGAATGCTGGGCGGGATACAAAGTAGTGCGCAGGGGGATCAAGGGATGAATGTATGAGTGCGGTGGACCCTGCCCTTTGCCCCCCCTTTGGCCGGAAACAACTCAATTATTCGGCTTATTGGTGAGTGTCTTACATTCCGTGAGCGAACACATACTTGAGCTGGTGGTCTTGGGGGTGAGTGAAGGTGTATCCTAGTCAACCAGCGGAGTGGGTTGAGGAAGGGACTGGTGTGGAATCGGGGGATGTTGAGAACATCAGGCGGTGGGATGGGGATTGAGTGGCTCGGGGTAGGCTATTGTTCCTTTTTTAGATCTGGTGGTAGACAGTGGCAGCCAGCGGTGATGGCTGAGAGCACTTGCTGTGTGTTGAAGGTCTAGACTTTGTCTATCGTGGACGACGTAGAAGCTTCGGGTCAAGCGATCGTGATAATTATTCTTGTGGAGTTTACTGTAGGTCGGTCAGCTTGTTCGTCGGTGGAGATGCTACTGAGTATCATATGTCTTTCTCAACATTTTTGTCTATCTATGTGTAGTCTCTTTGTATTCAGTGCGGATGTAATCAAGCAGGGAGTGAGGTCAGGGATTGCATCATTATTTTTAGATTGGAGGGCAGGCACTACTATATCTGCTCACCATGCGTTGACAGCACTAGAAGAACAAGTCGATAACTAGACTTTCCGGTATAATCTCAGCTTATCATGCTTTTAACTTGATGTTGAATGTCATTGATCGATGTTTGACAAAATATTGAGCAGGTAAATAGATTCATTGTGGTTGTGGTATAGGGTTGGCGAAAATCATGTCGGAGATATATATCCATCGAACACATCCCGTCCACGGTACCCGTAACCCCCCACCATGGGCAATAGTAGGCTTTCTATTTACTCCTTCATTATTGAATTTAGATACCTACTAAGAGTGAATTGCTTACAGTCACGTCTATCCAGCAATACTGATTATCGAGATAATGGATAATGCAAACAAGCATACACCCACAGCCAAGTGTCGAATGCGGCCAGTCCCGACCAAGAATAGAAGCATGCAAATACTTCCGATTGCCCCAGTGACTCCAGACCGCCACCCAAGTGGCCGGATCAGGGCCAGCCCACTGAAAACAATGGGAATGCTGTCTGCATCTCCTCAACTGTCATCGTTAGCTCCCGCCGATGAAAAGACACAAAAGATTAGGATGGATCTTGCCATGGCGAGCCCGAGTCGCAAAGCAACTGGAACCCGCTGCACAGGAAGCCACCATCAAGACACTACCTAGTAACTTACTGCTATTACCCCCTTCCATCATGCATTGAACGCCTACGACATCCTGGGTCCAGACGTTGTCCTTTGCGACCAAGTACTGTACTATCATTAGGCTGCTGCTTTTGGAGCTCCACACCGAGAAACCTGATCTTCATGACCTACTTACACCTGCACTCCTATCTTTGACCCCAAAGTCGCAACCTCCAATCTGCCCCAAACAAGCTTTCAACCCCCCTCCCCCCCAGAACAGCATCCGATATTCCACGCCACCTCCCAGGGACCCCAAACAAACACCGAATCGCCCTGGCGAAATGACAGGTCACAGTGTGTGTGAAGCCGAGAAATATCCCGCCGCGGTCGAGCTCCCCGCCGACTCTGAAACACCACCACACCTGGCGGCGGCGGCTTCTTCCCCTGATCTTCAGCCAGGAGACTACAACCCCTGTGTGGGCGCAAAGCCCTCCTCACCCTTTTATCGCCATGCGACCCCGTCCGTGAACATCAATCGCCTGAGGGTGGACAGCGAGAAACCCCAGCCCACCGTCCAGCAGCGCTACAGTTCCCCCGTCATCCCCGAGAGCCCGCCCATGTTCAACGTATCCGCCCTGGAGTCGGGCAGCCGTCATGAGTCGACGTCGAATCTTTGGGGTCAACCGAAGCGACACTGCGGGTGCATGAATCGACTGAGCCGCAAGCAGCGCATCGTGGCCAAAGGCGCGATTGCCGTGGTAATCCTGGGAACCATGATTGCGATCGCGGTGGGAATTACCGTCGCGGTGGGAGGCGCCGTGTGGAGGTCGGATCACCGACAGGAGGTAATCAGATGATGATACAGAGGTCGGTTGACTACGGTCTCATGGAAGGCGCGCGAAATGCTAATTAAGTAGACGAACAGGACCAACCTTGCGTTGCCCTCCTCTGTCGATACTTCTGCCTACCATTCTCGGTTGTGATACAAGTACCTCAAAACCAACAAGACATTTCTGCGGAGCATAACTATACTGCATGGGAGTTTGGAGTCTGGAGAGTGTTCGCTGGGTAGGAATTGGATTGCATGTACATTTGAGCTTTTTCTTTTCACTGTCTTTTGGATTCTGTTTCTGAGTTCCTGTACATAAAGGAGGGTTTTAGCGACGCATGCGGGGCGAGATTGTTGCTTGGAACAACGGGAGAAGATCAAATACAAACAGAACATACAGGGCCAAAGGCTGGTGTGCCTGACAGCTTGGCGATTAGCGAGGGCGGGATGCCTAGCTCGAGCACGTGATCCACAGGCCACATAAATACCGCGTGTCGGCGGCGCTCCCCTATCTGAACTTTTTCTTTTCTTCATTACATCGAAAAAAGCTAACAGAGCCTGCCACGACCCTCGTCCATCTTCCCACGACGAGTGTTGCCTTCGGTCTACGGACTGATCGGCTCTGGAGAACAATTCTCCCTGATAGGAAGTTCGCTTCTCGTTGTGTCCTCTTCAGTGAGGGCGATGAGGGGGGAATGTCGATGACGGGATACATCACTTTTGCTCACGTTCAGTATATAATGGATTGTACTGGATAATACCCACTTGAAAAAAATGGCTCTTCTGTTGCGTATTGTGTTGAATCTCGTAAATTCGCTAAAAGCTGCGTCTAGACCAATTAATCAGTCTGCAGAATCAGACTGTCCTGAGGTGGCTGATGGCTGTGCCGAGACGCGGCGGCAGAAAGTGATGCCGGGCTCCAGCGACGGAGACCCACATTGCTGCAGCTTTCGTACCTGGCCGTTTCCCATACAACATGTCTTCTCCGACTATCATCACGCTCCGATGTCCTGATGGAGCAAATCCCATTGATCAATGCTCATCTCTGATCAGTTTCCAACTGGACCGGGACAACATCCCTGATGGCCGCACCTATTATCTTCGTCCAGGTGGGGAGATCATACATACCCATCCCTTGGCTATATACGCCATTCAGCATGAGGAATGCACCAATCCACCACTGAGGGAAGAAACCTCAGGTTCCTGGGAACACATGGTCTGGCTTGGATCTGGAGGAGTGCTCATTCTTCCCAACATTCCCAGAAGGACAACAACACCCGGCTTGTATTTGTTTGTTTGCCGCAGAGGAAGCAGCATGCCGGCGCCAGGATGATGCCACCATCATAAAAGGTGCAATAGGGTCCGCAAACCTGGGAGCTTCTTTTTCGAAGTAGGTCGAATCGATCGTACGGTAATAGTCGACAACCAGTTTTATTTTTTAATTCATTCCTTAATCTTTTTGCTACGCCCCTCCCTCCAACGGCCTCGGCCCCAAGTCACTCTTTCAACTTTCGGTTGTATTGTATTTTGTTTCTTATACCTTGACGTGAAACCTCCATCTTATAATTAACACCAACAGCAATAAACATGAAGGGACTCCAGGCTGGAATCCCACTTGCGGCGCTGGCTGCTGTCGCCCGCGCTACCTCGGTCATTGGGGGCTCGCAGGGCGAGGACCGCGGCAGTGACGCCGCGCTGCCGGTCGACAACAAGTTCCGGAGCGAGGTGAACGACTACCACTCGGACGACCACTCGTTCGACCTTGATGCGAAGAAGACCATCATCGAGCCAGGCCATGGCCGTCGCCCTCACCACCATAAGGCCAGAGAGGAAGTGATCCAATCGAACGACGGAGTTTCCGAGGGATCCACTTATGTCAAGCCGCAAGTCCACGCGGAGTCGAACAACGAGAACTCGTACTATGAAGATGATCACTGCGTGGAGCTGGAGAAGGATGTCGTCGAGGTAGTGCCGCCTCACGGTCGTCCCAAGCACCACCATGCTCGCGGTCAGCACGAGGACGTCGACGTCATTGGAGGAGCCGGCGGTGTTGACACGGGTAATTCGTTTGCTTTGCCCATCACCAGCAAATTCTCGTCCACGGTCAATGATGCCTATGTGGATGACCACTCGCGTGATATTGATGTCGATACGACCATCGTGAAACCCAAATCGCATCCCCCTAACCACTTCAAGGCTCGCGGAGAGCACGAACATGTCGATCTCATAGGAGGCGCTGAGGGGATTGACACCGGCAACAGCTTCGATATGCCGATCACGAGCACGTTCTCGTCCGTTGTGAATGACGCGTATATTGATGATCACTCCCGTGATATTGACAGAGACACCACCATCGTGAACCCCAAGCACCACGGGCCTGCTCACTTCAAGGCACGCGGTTATCTTGACGATGTCGATCTTATCGGTGGGCCCGAGGGAGTTGATGTCGGCAACACGTTTGATTTGCCTATCACCAGCAAATTCTCTTCCACTGTGAACGATGCCTACGTTGATGATCACTCGCGCGATATTGATGTGGATAAGACTATCGTTAAGCCTCACCACCACAAGGCCCGTGAAGGCCACGAGCACGTGGATGTGATTGGTGGTCCTGGTGGGGTTGATACTGGCAACACATTTGACCTCCCGATTACAAGCAAGTTCTCGTCCGAAGTCAACGACTACTACCAAGATGATCACTCCCGCGATATTGATGTGGATAAGACTGTTGTTAAGCCTCACCACTACAAGGCCCGTGA